TGGATTGGATTGGATGCGGAATATACAGATTTGGTAAATTAGATAAGTGCGAATTACCGGTCGATGAAGGTGATTTAAGCATCCTTGAGGATGCGTACTGCATTCTTAGGTTGCTAGAGGTAAACCATTATACGATTTATTAGTATTTATTGGTATTTAATCAGCATTTTAACATATAGAATCAATGTAGTCGAAATCGCTTGAATCAGAAAAGATCATAAAAGAAGTCTTACAAAATAATACGAAAAACAAAAGACGACGTATGATGACAGAAAGTAATCCTCATTTAAATAAGAACCGAACTCCTATTAAATAGAGATCGTTGTTTGTGCAATGAATACCCTATGTATTCATTGAAGTTAATAAAGTACTTATCTTTACAATATGTTCCAATTTATTACACCTTTTTTGTAAGTGATCCTGGAGTCAATTAATCGTATGCTTAACTTTGGTCATGATTTTCTTTGATGTAAAAAAATAATCAGTCATGTAAAAATGAGACTCTGAACAAGATATTATAAAATTATTTTCGGAACTTATGGGTTATGAAGTACAAACTAATAATCATTCTCATAGAAGGTAAACAACATAAATTTTCAGCGGGACTTGATTAATAGAGTTTTGTTCTATAGCTTGCTTCGAAAAATGGAAGAGCGGGGTCCAAAAGATTTATGATTTATTTAGTGCCATCAGGGTCGATAAGATCAAGCGGATTCAGAGCTTTACAGCAGTAACCTTATCTAGGATGATATAGACTATGTTTTAGCCAAACTTCACTTTCGTAGCTTATTTGTGGGCACGTAACGTTGTGATATCATATCACGATCTATGCAGAAAATTTTAATCATGCAAATATTTCAGCGTGAAGTGTCAATAAAGTTTATTCACAAATGTATTGCGAAGCAATGGAGCTCTGCCTAAGGTTGCTTGCCGAAATCCCTTAGTGACTGTCTAAATTCTGTCGAAATTATAATAAACTATTAGTAAATAACCCGTCGAAATTCTGACGAATTTTGAAACCCATCGTAATCGAAATTCTAATTAACAATTAGTGTGTAACCCATCAAAATTATGATGATATTTTTCTGAAAGGATTTAGGCAAGCATCCTTAGTTCTGCCCCTTAATATCTGCATATTATTCTGACATACAGCAATAAATTCACACTACACGAGCAATTTATACATATTTATTGCCACAAATAAATTTTTTAGATTCATATGCACCTCTCCCATTCTCATCGTATACATCACTCGTAAAATATAATGATTATAACACTCTCAAAGAGATGATTCGAGAATCCATCTGCACTAAAAATGAATCTAGTTTTAATCATATATATATCGTACCAAATCTAATAGGTAGGTCAAAATATTATTCTTTATAATCGATAAATACTGTATGTCAGGTCTTAATATTCCTATTATTATTGATAAAAAATCTAAATCACAGAAACTCATTAATAATAGACTGGGATATGATATGAAATATATAGAGTCATATATCTACAAATATTTTAGCATTAATGATTATCAACAATTCTTCGATAAACTCTTTGAGATTGAAAAACAATATGATACTTTATCTGTTATTCGACCCAATGAAACTCCACAATAATGAGTTATTCGGATTAGAGTTCCTTTACAAGAGCTAATCTCTGAAAAGAAAAGAAGCGTATATCACATATACTGTTTATATGATGAATTTGAAAATTCTAAGCTAGTCAATCATGACTACTACTGACCTAGAATTCACAAAACTCATATGGCAATTTGTCTTGATTGTTGGAAATTGATTCAAGTTAATGATATAAAACCAAAGAAAGTATAAGCTTTTGTTATTTACAATATGAAGAATATTATATTTCATATGATTGGATAGGTAGAAAGAAAACCAATTACGAGATAGATTTAATAAGCGTCTCCAACAATTAGAAGTGTAATATATTAATACCTATCACATCTATTTAATTATTTTTTCATCAATATATACTGTATTTTATAATTTTTTGCCTGCAAACTTTTTGTACGCAAACTAATAATCGATGTTTCACTCAGATTACAATCCCATTATAGCGAAACTTCCAAAAAGTCTGGTCAAGAGAGCATACCACAGGCTTTTATATCACTCTAGATCCCCCGTCACATCAGAGCAAATTTTTGAAAAATGTGATTGAATTGAGAATTATTTGTATCATATATTAGAGGTATATGAGAAAGGATTAAATAGGAAGCGTAAAAAACAAATTATTGAACCACTTGAAAATTTATTGTATAATAGCAAAGCTAGTGTCAAGACATATATAAACATGGTTAACCAAGAATCCCAAATCCAAAATACTATTCCGATTTGTTTATGTGATCAGACATATAGATGTTCTTGCTTTGTATGTGAGGATAAGATCAATCACCGGGTTAAAAAAGAGATCAATGTTTTATTTTAGTGATTATTGGAATACAACGAAAAAACTTTTGATAAATTTATACGAGAAATTACTATAGAGTATGAAAAGCAGGTTAATAAAAATAAGAAGTTACGATGTGAGATTGAAGAAAAGAAGATAGAATTACAAAAGGCTGAAAGATTCCTAGAAAATCTAAAATCTCATTCTACTTATTAGAAAGATCAAGAATTTGGTCCCAATCTTTCCTTATGTAAAAAGGATCTTCTTTTGCTTTGATTAAATTGATAACAATAAATTCCCTACCTTGCAAATTTTTATCAAGTATATCGACAACATCATGCCATTTTTTTGTATATTATTGGGCAATATTAACTAGTTCATTATATGTTCCACTACCATTAAAGAGAACAATATAATCGAGATTTTTTCTTATCAATTTAGGACAGTCAAAAAAGCTTTGTGTTATATATATTGAACTAATATTAGCATGTCACCCTTTACTAAAATATGAAGCAATTTTATCTTGTATTTTTTTAGGCTCAGTACATAAATTTTCAAATACAACTACTATTCCTCTTTTAGGAAAGAAATTGTTAATTTTTGGTATTTTATCAGGTTTCATTGCTCGGAACGTAATATCTTTACGATACAGTTTTGAACTGTTTGTAATTATTTTATAGCAATATTTCAGATACTTGTATTTCAGCTCATTAATATGATGACTGATCAAAACTAAATTATCATTTTTAATATATCTTGTTCCACCTTTTTTCCCATTAAACAATCGATACATCTTGTTCCCAAGTAAAAGATTGATAACTTCATTAGTTTTTCCTGATCTGGTTCATCCACTAATTAATAAGTTAAAAGGCCATTGGGGCATACTATTTAATGAGTTAAATCTTTCTGGATTATTATATTCATTGATGTTTAAAACTATTTTCTTTACAGGGTCTAGCTTTTCTATTTTCATATTGATCAAGATAAGTAATGCTAAATTATTATATCGAAAAATAATGATTTTATAAGTTTATTCTTTGTGTGATAAATAGCTCTTCTCTTGTAATTTGCTTTTTATATAAGAAAACAAATTCGCATTATAACTAATTTCAACAAGATCTATACCTTGCTCCTTGTATATATTTCATTTTTTTTGATCACGTGCTCTTTGTGAATCTAAGTCACCTTGATTTTTGTGATATAAACTATTGTGATAAAAATGCTGGACTCCATTATACTTCCATATCAATTTTAATTCTTCATTATATTCATCGAGTCTCAATCCACCCAAGAATTTTGGTGCGCATGATGAAAATTTTTTATCCAGTAGATCCTCAAAAATATATCGACAACTTCTTTCACGAATATGATGACATAGGGGACACCATTCAAATTTCGTAGCTATTAATGAATATGAATATTTTCACTGATGTTTTCCATTTTCACAAAACCAGAGATATACATCAAAATTATTTATTTGATCAGTTTTACCAAGACATTTTCCATTACACTTTTTTGCATATTCTTCAATCTTAGTCATTTTATTAATAATACGAACAAAATTAATAGATCTGGAATGAGTTTTTCTTCCAATATACTCTGGGACGGATACTGAAGTGTGTCAATATTTACATGCATAAGCTTTTCTTTTACAAATTCACGCTTTGGAGCATATTTATCATCATCTCCAAGATAATATAAAACCAATTCATTTTTCGTTACTACAATTTTTCGAATTTTATGTAAAGAAAGTGAAAACATCGAGTCTGTAGCCCTTTTCTGATTTTTCATACCTCCTTCTCACTCTGTATTAGCAAGCAGATAACGAACTATATCATCTTTCTTCAACCTATTCTCCTCATATTTCCCAACAGGATGTTTATATTTTGTAGATGATCTAGATTCAATCTTTTCTAATTTAATGACTTTTATTGATGCTAACCCTCACTTTGAGGATCCAGGAGCTCGAATGAGATATGTTAGATAATTATTAAGATAATCTATTACTTCTGGCAAATATTTAATTCATGCTCTTATTAATTTAGGATCTGAGGATATACTTTCAATGCTATATTGAATTTTATAAAGCATTTTCCACTAAAGTTTTATTAAATCTCTCCACAATCATTATACCATGATGAGAATATGGACCAATAACTCGAATTATTACACTGTGTTCTTTTATTAGTTGACTTGTTAGTCCTACCCATTCTTTATCATTATCACATTGTAGAAGTGTCAGATATGTAAGAGGGTTATTTGAATTATTATAAATTTTCTTAAATGCTTTAGCAACTTCAAAACTATTCTTTGATGTTATGGGAACACTTGCCTTGAACATCTATAATTTGTAATACTGCTTTTCATTTTTTACCTTTATAGTAATTATGCGTAAAAAATAAGAGATCATACTAATGTACACAATTTGGTTTTTGAATTTTATCATAACTAACCCGTGGAGTATCTTTTAATGATGGAGCATACTTTTGCCATTCATTCTGGTTATACAACTATTCACATATTTTTTTATATGGGAAATTATATCCTTTATCTTTAATAGTATTATACAGCTTTCGAGAGTTAGAATAATAACCAGTAGATTGATAATAAAGCATACTCAGGACAATATCAGAAAATTTTTATATTCGATTATAATTGATTATTATCCAATAATCAATTATCATCGATTGTTAATAATCGATTATAATCGATTGCAATCAGATATAATCGATGA